TTCTGGCTTGATTCCCGTGCATCTTTGACAATGTCATCTCGTTAAGACTTTGTTGCTTTAGATGACAATTGTTTCGACTGGAAATATATTTTTTTTTAGAGTAGGAGAAGGCAAACATGAATGCAGCGAATATTTTTTAGTAACTGTGTGTCTAAATATGTCTAAAAAACAAAAATGGCAGTCAAAAGTCAAAAAGCTAAACTAAATTTAAAAAGACGGTCTGTTTACATGTCATGATGATTTAGGTACACTATAAAAAAAAAAAATTATCTGTATAGTCCTAATTAATATATCAACCATGGACCAACCAACAAAATATGAAAATCAATATTCAGCATTCAAAAAACTCAATAGACAAGACAAAAGCACGCATATTTGTTTCCGCTGAAATGGCTGACATCTATACACACTGACTGATCGTCTGCTATAGAAATTAGGTTATGATGCCAGTCACATGTCACTATTAATAAAACATCTTGCCTGTCAATCAAATAATAACATTATAAATAAATGTTATATTACCACGATTAAAAATAAAAATTTTATTTTGAAGTGATAATACCAGCAACCATAAAGACAAATAACTTAAATAAATAACCTTGTCCTACTTCATCAATCATTATCACTTGCACATACATTTACTATTTTTTATGTTAAAGTTTATATTTGATAATTTGAAATAAATTAAAATTATGATTGGTGGACTTAGTTAGTCATTGTTATATAAGAGTGGCTGTTAAATTTACCAGCTGATTTCAATGGTCTTCACAAAAAGCCTGAAAAATTTATAAATAACTACTCAATAATATTAAAACCATTATTCTCATCATCATACGAATGCCACTTGTGCGATTGAAAAGAATTAGTATGGATTATGCAGCTAGACAATTAGGATCAACTGCATCAAAACGGTGTAATGCTGAAGTTATTGCTTCAAATTTGCGATTGGACAAATGTACATAAAATGCAATGGTCTGGGAAATTTTGTTTAGGTCCCCGGTGTGAGGCTAGTGTATTTTTCAATGTGTGTAAAAATTAGACAAGGAATGATTCTTTATAGAAATTCATATTTATGGAATGTGATTTTATCAGCAATCGGAACAAATATGTGCACATGTGTGACATGATAGGTTAGATACTTGGTCAATCTGAGCATGTTTGAGATATAGGTGTGGACAGTCAATTGGACACACAAACGCAGATGAAGTCACTGTTAATCCAGTTGAGACTAATCACAGGGTACTTCTGGTCAGGAAGAAATCTACATGTAACTTAGACAAATTAAGGCAAATAATGCATGAGTCCCACGAGACTCTGACAATCAAAATACCCAGCTTTGTAGATAGTCTTCTAAATGCAGTCAACCGTGCAGAGACAAGTAGAAAAGGACACTTCAGTATTGAAAGAATTTTTCCTCACTGATTTTGGCATGTCTGTGGAGGTGTTCAGGTGTATATATTCGATATGACCATGAACAAAAATCTGGTATCTGGTCACCATGCATATCAGTTAAAAATGTGTGTGTTCTTAGGATTTTGACTGGATTTTTAATAAGTTAACAATTTTTTTTCATGCCAAGGCACATTTTGCATCACAATTTTAAAATAATAAAAACAATTTCAAAAACAAATTAACCAGAAACTTTTTCTCTGGGTCTTTCCCCATCAAATGCAGGCAGAGTAACATATAAGCTAGTTATTCAAGTGTTTCACATTGTCATATTGCATTTATTAATTATTATCAGATTTAAAAACTTCATAAAATTTGTTCAACAATCGTAAAAAATTTTTATGAATATTAGTGAAAAAAAATACATCCAACATATTGAGCAGACAATTTTTTTTCAACATGAATAATAAGACAATATTATCTTGTCCACTTTGAATGATAGAAATTATACAGAATATGACAAAACAGTGAGGTAATGTACTAAGAGAACATTAAAGGGTACCATAGTGGTTAAATGTGGGATCTGCACTGCACATACCAATATATACAGGTGTAGGTCAATGTGCCATCTTACAAGGATCAAATTTGTGATTTTTTTTTAAAAAATCAAGTTGGGTCAGCCTTTTCAAGAAAAAAAAAAATCAGGATTGTATTTGGACTAGCGTGAATTTTAGAGGTGCAAGCAAAAATGTTTGGCCCTGAGTTTCTTCATAAAATGTCATTTTGTTTTTAACAAACTGCAAAACTATTTCCGAGCAAAATATTTTCAAGGTAATTCATTCAATGTAAGATTTTTAAAGTAAGTCAATGTTATGATACACCACGGAATGTGTAACTATCGATAGTTATGTTACATGCAAATCTATGTGCGTCAGTGAAGTATCTATCATATTGGCAAATGTGTTTACCGGTAGTTACACAGAATTTGAATGCATTTGATCTAATTGTTATGCACAGTATGGGAGCCATATTTTAACAATCGTCCTTTAATTTCCTATGCAAATTCTTGTTTCAGGTGTGCAAATATTAATTCAATCTGTATATATTGATCATTTTTACATATCGTATATCCAGTTAATAGTGTTTAATTATTTTAAATAACTATCAGTTTCAAAAAAATGAATAAAATTGTTACAATTTTGCAAGGAGCATAATTGACTTTCTAGTCATTAGGTTAAAAAAAAATGTTTCTAGTTCTGCAGTGATGAGCTTTTTTCCCTTTTTGCAATATTTTGGCAGAACCCAATCATTTTTTTTGCCTTATAATTCACTACAGAATACAATAGTTAGCAAAAACCTGTGAATATCTTTAAAAAAATATATTTAATATCTTACTCCTTAATGTGTATGCGATTACATGAATAATATGTGATATAGAAATAGGTATCTATAATTATTGTTGGATATATAATACTAAATATCATGTCATAATACAATGAAAAACAATTGACCGCAAAGCCCCCCCTATGATATGAATGGTCTATCCCTTATTTGATAAGCATTACAACTGTCTGTTTGCCTGTATCTAAATGAAGGTAACTATAAATTTGACAATTCAGGTGAAAACCATAGACAGGTCAATCAATACCATAAAAATGTGGTCAATATACGACAAATTTTACAAGTAATGATCCAGTATATAAATCAAATGTTGGTTCATGTGGGCCATCTGCTGTCTGCACGTGTTTCCAGAACAAAAACATGATTTCGTTATTTACTTAATTTTTTATCTCTTCTTTTTATAGGATCACGTGCATATTTTTGGCTTGATAACACAGCTGCAATTTATTTAGAACTGCAGTTTCTTGAAAAAAAAAAAAAATCTTACATGTAATTTGTTATCACAAATAATTTGGCAATAACAATGTAGAGTCAGTATTCAGTTCAATCTTTGAAGATTCCAACCTAAAAATTCACATATTTCTGATCACTCACAATATTGTTGTTGTAGGAGTATTAATATTTATGATTTTTTATACAGAACTTGAAAACTTTGTTGATTGATTTTATTCAGTATAAAAACGTATAAAAGTTATATAACCCCACCATGGACTGTCCAACAAATCATGGCTAATGCTTTCCATTCATTCCTTTGTGTGAATGTGATATTCTCAATCACAGTACAAATCACAGCACTATTGTGCGGGTGTTTGATTTACATACTTATCAAAACACGTAATGTTGATGTTTGTCTAATTATGTTGCAACAACTTAACAACTTGTGAACATCACTCAGTTTTTTTTTTTTTTTTCATTCATCAATTAACAATTCTCTTTTGTTAATGAATTATACCTATTATACCGATAACTATAAGGTATGGTATTAAATACCCCGGATTTCAAAATATTAATGCATTGGATGCAGGAAAACGACTTACCGATGCGACGGGGGTCGGCAATTCAGCTGGATTATCATTTCGACGGCTTGGATCAATAATAATGGCTGCAACATCGCTGGCTCTGCATGGATTATCTCTTTCTGTATCACTGTCTTCATCTCTGAGCCCGACGTGCTCGTTTGTGCTCATTCCGTTATTGGTTTCTTCTCCCTTTCTGTGACCGCTTGGTAATTTCTCGCTATCCAGGCTCTCGTATGCGAAAATTCGTGGTGGTCGTGGAGGCGGCGGGCCGTACGGAACCAAAGGTGTCCCCTCAGTGCTGGGCTGTTCTTCGAGTTCCGGTTGATATACATTATCTGTGAAAGCGTCTCCCGATGATACTAATTGGTCGCCATCCTCCATTGATGTAGCCATTACATTTAGTGTACGTACGCCGTTGCGTCACACTACTAATTTGTTATTGTAAATTACAATATTGGCTGTTATAAATTAAACTCAACATTGGATCACTTACTTATTTTATTTCGAAAACGACTGTATTAGTAAAATAATGGTTGAGTTTATTGTCGCCAGTTTGTAATCTACAAATAAATTGAACAGTTTGGTTTCTTTCAGCATACATAATCCAATCTTATTTACCTTTGATCCGGAAGTAGACGATGTTTTGAAAATGATTGTCACGTGGTTGGTTCGACATCCTCGTGCGGTTATTATTTGAAAAAAAAAATACAAAGAAAACGAATAAGTATAAACGCTAATATTATGCTTTGAACTGAGTGAAGTATGGATTTCATAATATATTATAATTTGAAATACAACAACAATAATTTCTAAATTTACTATTTTGACACTTATGTGTATTTGATGTAAATAAATAGTTGTCGGCGATCGAGTAACCAAAGCTCTGCAAAGCATCCAACGAAACCCCGTAGAATAGATGCCGGTTAACATTGTATCTTTTTCAGTGTTCCTCCGAGAAATAAAATTAATTCACTGAATTACGCGTATTTCGACAGTTTAGTTAAAACACATTGATTCGCTATGTAAACAATTAATTGTGATTCTATTGGCTCTAAAATGATCTTTTTAATTTATTCATTCATTCTGTTTTACGTGAAAACATGGGTTGGGCGTAGAGCATTGCGCCATGCGATGCGGCCCAGTCATTTTTAGGGACTACTTTTACACTTTCTGGCAGTTTACAGGCAAGAAAGGCGGCCATATCGTTATATAGTCTGGACAATATACTCGCCATTATTCGTCAAATTTTGGCACTTTCAGGGCGACTTTGTCGTCTCTGGGCGCCTCCCTCTCGTGTTTTTTTGCATACGACCATAGAATCGAGTGCAGTGCAACTCGATCATATATCACCGGGTAGTTTCTACAACCCGGAAGTGGATTTTTATATCAACATACGTGTTACAGTTTGAATACGGACAGGACACAACGTTTTCTGGCTTTGTTGAACAGGTGGTGAGTTTATAGTGGCACGGATTGTCTGTGTCTGCGGAAACATCTCTTTACGTTCCTGTAGAACTCATCATTAAGTGTTCGTTGAATCATAATCAGTATAGGGTTCGGAATTTTGTCGTCTTCCAAGTTACAGGGGGTCGCATTTTTGATTATCTATGAGGATCTTGCCTACACAACACATTGAAATTTTGTGTTATGGCGACCCTCGCAATTGAGGAAAATTATTACAGACTCAACTTTTGTACAGTGTACAGTAAAATATCAAACAACGAGCTTTAGCCTCTTGAAAACCTGAACCTCCGACATCGTCAATGAACTATGATGAACGACAACAAATCAAAGAAAACCGGCATCACGATCAACGGTGACGCTACGTCAGAGGAGGCTGCCATCTGTTCAACAAACAGCGGCAGTGACACCAACACCAGTAGCGGAAGTACAACACCAGCAACAACACCCACTGATGGTCTACCACCAGCCTTAAAAAGTTTTGGATCTAGCGGTAGAGGTAAAGCTAAGCGTGTAAGTATCAAGCTTGAAAGCGAGACAGAAGTAAATGACACTGTTGCTAATGAAAGTTCCACAGCTTGCAGTGTTGTTGAAGTAGTCCCTAATGCGAAGAAACATGGGAGTTCTGATGACGAGGGGGTAAAAAATGGTGCTAAGCATAACAGAGAGGATTCAAGCAAAGTGTCTTCCCCAGAGAATGAGAAAGCTGATAAAACATTTGGGAAAGGAGAACATGCAAGTTCACCACATCCCAACATTGACAGTCCCCAAACTGAAAAACCACCACAGAATGAAAAAGAACTAGACATTCAAAGAAGGTTGGAAGGAGATGATAAAACAGAAAGTGAAGAAAGGGAAGAGCAAGCTGTAGATTCCTCAAGTGATGGAAGGTTTATGAGGTTTGATGTAGAAGTTGGCAGAGGGTCATTCAAGACTGTTTACAAAGGTCTTGACACTGAAACTGGAGTGGCTGTTGCTTGGTGTGAATTACAGGTATGGTGTGATTATTATTTTTCAGTAGGAAGGTTAGACATTTGTAAATTCAAAAACAGTTATCCAAGTTTAATTGGCAAATAAGTTAGAGCAATATTTTTGGGTTAAATGTTTATTAATAGCAATGTCAGGGTAAGTGAATAAACATTCCTATATCATATCCACTGTATGTCAAATCTCATGAATTATGTATATAATTAAATTTTAATTTTTTCAGGGGTTTGAGTGGAGTACCCCCTTAAAATTTAAGCACTGTAACTGCTTATTGAGTACACAATATGCAAGACATCAAGACATTTTGCTTTTTTTTGATAGTGTAAATTCCTGCTGTGTGAGTGACCTAGGGAAGTAGGAAAGATAAGCTTAAGTAGGGTTTTGCTAAAGGAAGGAAGTGGTAGTCATCATTTAAATGGCCATTCAACTTAATTTAATAACACATCTCATTATACAATTTTCTTTCTGTTTTTTTTTTTAATCCCAGAAGGCTGAAATATTAACTTTTTTACTATAACAGTAACAATGTAGAGTATTTAATGTGTGATAGATGCAGATGGTAACATGCAGTTTGTACACTACTTGCATAATCAATGTAGAGTGGCAATCTTTATTGAATACAAAATTCATATGTCTATGACTTTACAGTAATTGTCATGAATTACACGATTGAAAGGCTTTGTGCCTCATGTTCAATAAGGTGTCTCTGTCTTGGCACTCAATTCTTTGTCAATTCACTGACAAAATGGGATTGTCCAGTAGCTAGTATTGTCTGTGTTTGTCCAACCATAACTGGTACATCTGTTTTATTGTCCAGTAGGACTAATATTAGAATCCTATCAAAATGTTGCTTTGTGTACTTGGAGTATCCTTCTCAATGGGGTGGGCCACTCACCATCAGTTACATTTGATATTAATATATCAAAGAGATATGCATTATAGAAGAACAAAAGATCGTGCTTCATTCTAATTATATGCAAATTTCGTTGCTTTTTTACCGTTTTATTTTGTGGAGAACACTAACTTGGACTAAGGCTGGTGCAGTTATTGTTCATTGATTTGTCCAACCATTTCCTTTAAATGTTTTGATAGTACCGGGTATGTTTACCGGTAACTCTAAAGAAAATAACTTGAGAACTGAGAGTACATGTACATCAAAAATCTACATTGTGTGAGCAAGACAGACTGGCATTTCAGTTCCATTAGCCCTGCGTACGGTGCTGTGTGTACAGGGACGCGTTTGGTTGATGGATGTCCCCACCACAGCCCTGCGTACCTCCAAAAGTCCGTGACTTTTTTAATGAAATAACATGCCCAGGTACCAAAAATGATGAACGATTTCCAGATATATCTAAGAACTCCCAGTTTGGAGTTCAAGTTGTGGATGAA